TGGAGGATTCTGGAAGTTGAAGTCCACCCATCTTAAAGATGCTGGATGGAGGATTCTGGGAGTTGAAGTCTGTTCCTCTTAAAGCATGCTGGCTGGGGAATTCTGGGAGTGGAAGTCCTCCTGTTTCAAACCATGCTGGCTGGGTAATTATGGGGGTTGAAGTCCACCCATTTTAAAACATAGTGGCTTGGGAATTCTGGGAATTGACATCTATCCCTCTTAAAGCAAGCTGGCTGGGGAATTGTGGGTGTTGAAGTCCTCCTGTCTTAAAACACAGTGGCCGAGGAATTCTGGGAATGGAAGCCCACCTCTCTTAAAGCAGGCTGGTGGGGAATTCTGGGAGTGGAAGCCCACCCCTCTTAAAGCAGACTGGCTGAGGAATTCTGGGAATGGAAGCCCACCCCTCTTAAAGCAGGCTGGCGGGGGAATTCTGGGAGTTGAACTCCACCCCTCTTAAAGCCTGCTGGCTGGGGGATTCTGGGACTGGAAGTCCACCCATGTTAAGGCTGAGAACCCCACCCTACCCCCGTGAGACAGCTGTGTCCTTAGCAAAGTTCAATTCTCACATGTCGAATCCTTTTAAGTGCCCTCCGTCAACAGTTGTGCTGGTGGCACAACTAAATCCCGGCGAGGCTGGGGGAGCTTTGAACATGGGTGCCCCCCCGCCCCCTCCCCACTGCTGTTTCCAGCAAAGACACTTTTCCATCACACCCAAAGTGTGGGCTCTTTGCAAAAGCTGGCTTGGGACACAAACGAAGAGGGGAAAGTGCGCCCGTTTGTGTGTGTGTGTGTGTGTGTGTGTGTGTGTGTGTGTGTGTGTGTGTGTTGAAGGTTCTATTCTTAGGTGCTGACTCCTGGCTGCTATTCTTAGCCCAAAATGCTGCCTCATCGCCCCGGAAAGGGTGCCAGCTCCCAGCCAGAGCCTGCAGCTTGAAGCCCACCCTTCGGCCAGCCAACCCCATGGAGAGGAAATGGTTCCTCTCTCCCTTGGTACCAACGGAAAAAGGGGGGGCAGCGGATGGGACGCCCTGGACCCTCCACATCGAACAGCGAGGACAATGAAGCAGTGGAACAGAAGTTGCCTTCAGAAATCGTGGGTGCTCCATCACTGGAGGGTTTTAAGAAGAGACTGGACAGTCACTTGTCTGAGATGGTGTAGGTTCTCCTGTTTGAGCAGGGGGCTGGACTAGATGACCTCCAAGGTCTCCATTCTATTCTATTCATTATTCTATACTATTCTATTCTATTTTATTCTCTTCTCGTCTATTCTATTCTATTCTATTCTATTCATTATTCTATTCTATTCTATTCATTATTCTATTCTATTCTGTTCTGTTCTATTCTATTCATTATTCTATTCTATTCTATTATTATTCTATTCTATTCATTATTCTATTCTATTTTATTCTCTTCTCATCTATTCTATTCTATTCCTCTTTTAATTCTATTCTATTCTATTCTTATTCTTATTCTATTCTTTCTATTCTATTCTATTCATTATTCTATTCTGTTCTGTTCTATTCTATTCATTATTCTATTCTATTCAATTCTATTCAATTCTATCACTATTCTATTCATTATTCTATTCTATTCATTATTCTATTCTATTCTATTCTATTCTATTCTATTCTATTCTATTCTATTCTATTCTATTCTATTCTATTCTATTCTATTCTATTCTATTCCATTCCATTCCATTCCATTCCTGTTTTAATTCTATTCTATTCCTGTTTTAATTTCTTTAATTTCTATTCCAGTGGTGGCGAACCTATGGCACGGGTGCCAGAGGTGGCACTCAGAGCCCTCTCTGTGGGCACACGTGGCATCGCCCCATTCTGGGAGTGGAAGTCCACCCCTCTTAAAGCAGGCTGGCTGGGGGATTCTGGGAGTGGAAGCCCACCCCTCTTAAAGCATGCTGCCTGGGGGATTCTGGGAATTGAAGTCCACTCCTCTTAAAGCAGTCTGGATGGGGAATTCTGGGAGTGGAAGTCCACCCATCCAAAACCTCCAAGGCAAGGAAACAGCAGCTTCAAGACAGAGCTACACAGTTCAAGGAACTCAGTTCCTTCTTCAACCACTTAGTTGTTCTTTGTGTGTCTGGCCTCCTTTCTTTGCTTGCCTCCTCCTCCTCCTCCTCCTCCTCCTCCTCCTCCTCCTCCTCCTCCTCCTCCTCCTCCTCCTCCTCCTCCTAATGAATAAGGCACCCAACACAGAAAAAAGCTCCCCATCAGACGCAAAAGTGCTTTTTCAAGAGACCGGAGGCATGAATCTCCCTAGCCTTCCAATCAAAGATGTGAAATTAAATCCCCCTCCCCTCACAACTGACCCCAGAAGAAAAACTAGTCCTGGAGGGAGGTTAAACTTTTTCCTTTCGTCCACCTTCCCAAAAGGCTCCCCACCCACCCAACCCAGAGGGTCTCCCCAGAATGCTTTCTAAGTGAGCCCACCGCTGCACCCAGTGTGGTCAAAAAAAGTCAAGATGGCAACCGCCACACGCTAACTAACCAAGGAGAGAGAAGCAACCTTGAACTAAGGAGAAACTTCCTGACAGTTAGAACAATTAACCAGTGGAACAACCTGCCTCCAGAAGCGGTGAATGCTCCAACAGTGGAAGTTTTTAAGAAGAGACTGGACAGCCATTTGTCTCAAATGGTATAGGGTTTCCTGCCTGAGCAGGGGGTTGGACTAGATGACCTCCAAGGTCCCTTCCAACTTTATTACTGTTATTGTTAACATTAAGCCTGAATGAGATAGTCAAGAGAGGGGTCATTAGTTGTCTTTAAAAACAACACAAACACATTATTATTATTATTATGGATCATCGCACAGTCAGCCAGATGTTCAGACTGGATTTGGCATTTTGTCTACCTATCGAGTCCTTACCCAGGACCTGGGATAGGCAGATGTGGATGTTTGATGGTATTACAGATATCGTCTGTAATACCAGGATGGAAGCAGTTCCTAGTAAGGCTGCCTTTTGCAATTGACTAATGGCGAATTTGTCAATGCCAATGGTGTACAAGTGGTGCTCCAGTTGTTTTGGGATTGCACCCAAGGCGCCTATGACTATTGGTACTACCCTTGCTTGCTTTTGCCACAGTCTTTCTATTTCTATTTGTCGGTCTTTGTATTTTGTTATCTTCTCCAGTTCTTTCTCGTCTCTTCTGCTATCTCCAGGCACTGCCACGTCCACTATCCAGACTTTTTTGTCTTTCTTATCGACAATTGTTAAGTCTGGGGTGTTGTTGTTGTTGTTGTTGTTGTTGTTGTTATTATTATTATTATTATTATTATTATTATTATTATTATACTTTCACCAAAGTGCCTTCACCGCCTCCGATTCTAATCGCTGTTTTGTCAAGAGACCCTAAACACAAGTAGTCCCCGACGTAAAATCGTTCCCTTAACAACGGTTTGTATTAAAGATAAGCCCTGAAAAAGTCAGTCCCGAACTCAATTCGAACTCGTGACCGCTGCCCCACCCCCGCCAGTCTACGTGATGGCAATCGAGGGTAAATCCCATTGACAACCAGTTGCAGCGTCCTGAGGTCACCCAATCGCAATTGGTTAGGGTTTTTTGCCCGTTTTGGGCAAAACGAGGGAAAAAAAACAATGCCATTGGTCAAGCTGGATTCGCATTCACAACCCAGGTCAACTCAACTTTCGACCGCAGGACTTGACTTACTGACCACATTGACCCGTGGGAAACTTAGTTGTAAAGTTGGCGTCTGGTCAACTTAAGACGATGATGACTAAAAATCAGAAATTGTGGTCGTACGTTCAGGATGGAAACTAACCAAAGAGAGAAGCAACCTAGAGAACTAAGAAGAAATTTCCTGATAGAACAATTAATCAGCAGAACTCCTTGCCTCCAGAAGCGGTGAATGCTCCAACACTGGAGGTTTTTAACAAGAGACGGGGCAGCCATTTGTCTGACATGGTATGGGGTCTTCTGCCTGAGCAGGGGGTTGGACTAGATGACATCCAAGGTTCCTTCCGAGTCTGTCATTCTGTTAATTCAGTGGTGGCGAACCTATGGCACGGGTGCCAGAGGCGGCACTCAGAGCCCTCTCTGTGGGCACGCACGCCGTCGCCCCAGTCCTAGACCTTCAGCTGGGTTTTATAAAACCTTTTCGCTTTAGGCCTCCGCCGCCATGTGCAAAAAAAAAAAAAGGTTCAATCAATCAGTCAATTTCAACTTCTCGCGGGAAAAAAAAAGATCTTGCAAAGTTGGGTTTGATTGATTGAACTTTTTAGTCCCACCCAGTCTGCTGTTACCACTGTAGCCACGCCCACCCAATGGGCCACACCCACCCGGCACCCGACGATGCATAAGTGGGTTTGGGGTTGCAGTTTGGGCACTCAGTCTCTAAAAGGTTTGCCATCACTGGGTTAATTAACCAGTGGAACTCCTTGCCTCCAGAAGTTGTGAATGCTCCAATACTGGAAGTTTTTAAGAAGAGACTGGACAGCCATTTGTCTGAAATGGTGCAGGGCAGTGGTTCTCAACCTGTGGATCGGGACCCCATTTGGGGTCGAACGACCATTTCACGGGGGTCACCAAACAACGCAGTCCGCCATTTTTTTCCCCTTTTCCTTAGCTGTGCTGCTCCCTTTTATTCTATTGGCTTTTGAAAGCCAATAGAATAGACTCTCTTGAATAGGGTCTAATTCTATTGGCTTTCCAAAGCCAATAGGAATTGTCCAGGCTGTCTCTGCCCTGCTGAGCCCGCCAAAAGTCCCATTCTGCAAACGGGGCTGCACCAGTTGAGTAGTCCTCCACTTACGACCGGTTGAGTAGTCCTTGACTTACGACCGGTTGAGTAGTCCTCGACTTACAACCGGTTGGGGGTCGTGGCATTAAAAAGGTTGAGAACCACTGGTTATAGGGTTTCCTGCCTGAGCAGGGGGTTGGACTAGAAGACCTCCAAGGTCCCTTCCATCATCATCATCATTATCCCTCCCTCCATGCGAAACGTCTGAAGGGTTAGGGTTGTGACATCCCTGGCACCGTCACTTACCATGATGGTTGTGTCTTCGGATGCGCTGGCAATGACGTTGTCGTTGTGGGGACACCAGTCGATGTCCAGCACGGGGGCCGTGTGTCCAGTCACCAGGGGAACGTTCTTGTCCACGCGGCCCACCTGCAAACATACATGGAGAACAGGGTATTTTTAATTAATTTATTTCATTTATATGCCTCTTTCCAAAGGAAGATTCTGGTCCGTGCACCCAGGAAAGATCGGCACGAACTTGGTGGCTCCCCCAGACTTAGTTTGGCCTAGCGGTCAAGGCACCAGGCTAGAAACCAGGAGATGGAGAGTTCTAGTCCTGCCTTAGGCCAACTGGGGTGACTTTGGGCCGATCACCAGGCGACGGTGAGTTCTAGTCCCGCCTTAGGCGTGAAAGCTGGCTGGCTGACTTTGGGTCGATCACTGGGAGACGGTGAGTTCTAGTCCTGCCGTAGGCATGACAGCTGGATGGGAAACTTTGGGCTAATCACCGGGAGACGGTGAGTTCTAGTTCTGCATTAGACATGAAAGCCAGCTGGGTGACTTTGGCCGATCACCAGGCGACGGTGAGTTCTAATCCTGCCTTAGGCATGACAGCTGGATGGGTGACTTTGGGCCAAACACCAGGCGACGGTGAGTTCTAGTCCCACCTTAGGCATGAAAGCCAGCTGGGTGACTTTGGGCCAATCACCAGGAGGCTGTGAGTTCATCCCGCCTTAGGCATGAAAGCCGGCTGGGTGACTTTTGGGCCAATCACCAGGCAACGGCGAGTTCTAATCCTGCCTTAGGCATGACAGCTGGATGGGTGACTTTGGCCAATCACCAGGCGACGGTGAGTTCTAGTCCCGCCTTAGGCATGAAAGTCAGCTGGATAACTCTGGGCCAATCACCAGGCGATGGTGAGTTCTAGTCCCGCCTTAGGCATGAAAGCCGGCTGTGTGACTTTGGGCCGATCACCAGGCGACGGCGAGTTCTAGTCCCGCCTTAGGCATGAAAGCCAGCTGGGTGACTTTGGGCCAATCACCGGGCGACGGCGAGTTCTAATCCTGCCTTAGGCATGACAGCTGGATGAGTGACTTTGGCCAATCACCAGGCGATGGTGAGTTCTAGTCCCGCCTTAGGCATGAAAGCCGGCTGGGTGACTTTGGGCTGATCACCAGGCGACGGCGAGTTCTAGTCCTGCCTTAGGCATGAAAGCCGGCTGGGTGACCTTGTGCTAGTCCCTCCCTCTCAGCCCGGCCCATCTCACAGGGTTGTCGTTGTGTGGAAAAGAGGAGTAGGACTGTGTGTTGGACACGTTTGTCGCTCGAGTCACTTGTCAGAATAACGGCAGGATTCCAATCAATACAGTAAAGAAATAAGCCGAGAGGGTCTCCCCCTGGGGGGGGGGTCTATTAGGAGCCTCCTGACTTTGTGGTCCCGACAAGGTGCGTTACACAACTCGTCCTTTCCACCAAGGACAAAGAAAACAGAGCGATTATTCCTCGTGACGTAGCCCAAAATCATCGGGGACAATTTTGGCAGCCCCGTCACGCTCTTGCAAACTGCACTTCCCGCACTCCGACTCCCAGGTGCGCCTGGCAGAACAAGAACATCCTGAACCCCTCCTGGGCATCCGAGCGCGGGCTCCCCTCCGAAGGGGGGGATTGTTCGGGAAGGCCGGGCGACTTTGAGAGGGCGGGTCTCGGGCCCCTTCTCCCTCCCCCCCGTGGCTTTTCATTTTTTGTCCCTCTGGTGTTGAGGGGTTGCCCTCCCCCAGCCTCACGCAGGCTTTAGTTGTTGGTGGAGAGGAAGAGAGGAAGGGAAGGAGAAGGAGCGGAGGAAGGGAGATAACAAGAGAAAGAAAGGGAAGGAAAGAAGGGAAGGAAAAGGAAGGGAAGGAAGAGAAAGGAAGGGAAGGAAAAGAAGGGAAGGGAAGGGAAGAGAAGGGGAGGGGGGGAGGGGAGGAAAGGAAAGGGAAGGGAAGGAGTGAAGAGAAGGGAACGGAAGGGAAGGGAAGGCAAGGAAAGGAGGGAAGAGAAGGGAAGGGAAGGAAAAGAAGGGAACGGAAGGGAAGGGAAGGGAAGGAAAAGAAGGGAAGGGAAGGGAAGAGAAGGGGGGAGGGGAGGGGAGGAGAGGAAAGGAAAGGGAAGGGAAGGAGTGAAGAGAAGGGAAGGTAAGGCAAGGCAAGGCAAGGCAAGGAAAGGCAAGGAAAGGAGGGAAGAGAAGGGAAGGAAAAGAAGGGAAGGGAAGGGAAGGAAAGGAAAGGAGGGAAGAGAAGGGAAGGGAAGGGAAGGAAAAGAAGGGAAGGGAAGGGAAGAGAAGGGGAGGGGGGAGGGGAGGAAAGGAAAGGGAAGGGAAGGAGTGAAGAGAAGGGAACGGAAGGGAAGGTAAGGCAAGGCAAGGCAAGGAAAGGAAAGGAAAGGAAAGGAGGGAAGAGAAGGGAAGGAAAAGAAGGGAAGGGAAGGGAAGGAAAGGAGGGAAGAGAAGGGAAGGGAAGGGAAGGAAAAGAAGGGAAGGGAAGGAGTGAAGAGAAGGGAAGGTAAGGCAAGGCAAGGCAAGGAAAGGAAAGGAAAGGAAAGGAGGGAAGAGAAGGGAAGGAAAAGAAGGGAAGGGAAGGGAAGGAAAGGAAAGGAAAGGAGGGAAGAGAAGGGAAGGGAAGGGAAGAGAAAGGGAGGGGAGGAGAGGGAAGGGAAGGAAACGAAAAGGAAGGAAAGGAAAGGGAAGGGAAAGGGAAGGGAAGGGAAGAGGGAGGGAAGGAGGGAGGAGGATAAATGGGGAAGGAGAAGAAGAAAGAAAAGGAGAAGGAGGAACAGAAATGATGGGGAGGAGGGCTGTGGGGTCCTTGGTGCTCTCTGATCTTGGATGTTTTCTTGCAGACGTCTCATGACCCAACTAGGGAACATCATCAGTGCTAGAAGGGAGTGGGGTTTGCTGAGGGGAGGAGGAGGAGGAGGAGGAGGAGGAGGAGGAGGAAGGATCAAGGAGAAGAGAAAGTAGGGAAGCCATGAGGGCTGGGAGATTGTCGGGGGGATCAATGCAGCCCCTACCCTAGATCTACGGTGGCAGAGTTCTCCTCCAGGCGCCCTGACCTTGAGCGAGCTCCCTCGCCTGCCGCCCCCCCCCCAGGGAAATATGAGCTGTGGAAAAAATGCCCCCCCCCCTTCAGCCTCCTCCCTTCGTTTTAATTGTTCCCAAAGTGAGTCACTTATTATTGTGACTCAGCCGGACAACTGCTCCAGTCCATCTCACACAGGCTGGCCAGTCCAGGGCAGGAAGGGGGGATTGGGGGGGGGGGAGAGAAGGGGACACTTAGAGGTCAGCTGTCTGAAGAGGGAAGAGGAAAGAGGACAGTGGCGAGGGTGCAAAACATTCACAAGCAGCAAAGGCCGGGCTGAAGTGCACGGAAAAAGACTTTGGGAGGAGGAAAAAGTCCAGAGAAGAGCAACTAAGAGGATCCAAGGCCTGGAGACTTAAAACGTACGAAAAACGGCTGTGGGACTTGGGTTTGGCTAGTCTAAAGAAAAGAAGAAAGAGGGGAGACAGGATAGCGGTATTCTGGTATTCGGGGGGGGGGCTGCCACAAAGAAGAGGGGGTCAAATTATTCTCCAAAGCACCAGAGGGCAGGATGAGAAACAATGGTTGGAAACTGATCAAGGAGAGAAGCAACCTGGAATTAAGGAGAAACTTCCTGACAGTGAGGACAATGAACCAGTGGAACAGCTTGCCACTAGAAGTTGGGGGCGCTCCATCACTGGAGGTTTTTAAGAAGAGACTGGACAGCCACTAGTCTGAGATGGTATAGGTTCTCCTGCTAGAGCAAGGGGCTGGACTAGAAGACCTCCAAGGTCCCTTCCAGCTCTATTCCGTTCTACCTTAGGGGTGAACCTGACAGCAATCTTCCAATATTTGAGGGGCTGCCCCAAAGAAAAGGGAGTCAAGCTATTCTCCAAAGCGCCTGAAGGCAGGACAAGAAGCAACGGAGGGAAACTAATCAAGGAGAGAAGCAACCTAGAACTAAGGAGAAACTTCCTAACAGGGAGGACAATTAACCAGTAGAACAGTTTGCCACCAGACGTTGTGGGTGGTCCATCACTGGTAAGGTTTTTAAGAAGAGACTGGACAGCCCCTTGTCTGAAATGATCTAGGGCGGAGGTAGGCAACCTTGGCTCTTTTATGACTTGTGGATTTCAACTCCCAGAATTCCTCAGCCAGCATGGGGGAACTATGGCCCCTTCATGACTTAAGGACTTCAACTCCCAGAATTCCTGAGCCAACATAGGGGAACTATGGCCCCCTTCATGACTGGTGGACTTCAATTCCCAGAATTCCTGAGCCAGCATGGGGGAACTATGGCCCCTTCATGACTGGTGGACTTCAATTCCCAGAATTCCTGAGCCAGCATGGGGGAACTGTGGCCCCCTTCATGACTCGTGGACTTCAACTCCCAGAATTCCTGAGCCAGTATGGCTCAGCTTGGAAGCCTCTCCCTTTCCCCTCAGGAATTCTGGGAGTTGACGTCCACGAGTCATAAAAGAGCCAAGGTTGCCTACCCCTGGTAGGGTCTCCTGCCTGAACAGGGGGTTGGACTAGATGACCTCCGAGGTCCCTTCCAGCTCCATTCTGATTGATTGGCTCTCTTGCTTCCTTTGGGGTTCAAGATATTTTGCCAAACACCGTTTTTTTTTTCCTCCTGCAGGTTCATCCAGGCCACCTGGAAATTGTCCTTAGATGCAGGATGTGTGGGCAGCGATAGTCCAATGGGGCATGTCCATCTTTTTGCCGGAGAGGCGAGCAATTCGTCACGCCTCCCCAACTCGGTGTCCTGCCTCGGCTGTCTGGAGGGATGTCGTGCGCATCGTGGTGTCATGGCAGAAACGATGTGAAATGGGTGGTTGAACAAAGGGAGGAAATAGCAGGGTGTCCTTCAGGGGGTTTGACATTGTCAGGTCTTGTGGTTCTCTGTTTGGCCGGCTTTTTTTTTGATTTAATGTCCTGGCCGTGTCATACTTTGCCTGGTGGGAGTTCTTGGTGCTCTCTGAGCTGGGTGGTCTTCTTGCAGGCCTTTCACGACCCAGCTAGGAAACATCATCAGGGTTAGAAGAGAGGAGGAGGAGGAGGAGGAGGAAGAAGAAGAAGACTGTGGGGTCGT